AAAAAAAAAAAAAGAATTCTACTTTAGACAGATTTGCTTTTGTTTGCATTTACTGTAGCTTGAGCAGTTCCATCTACTGTGTATAATAAAATTTGGTGCTCTAAGCATGACTTAGGGAGAATTAGAGTTGAGTTATAGAGTTAAAAGGCACTGAGTTTTTGGAAGACCAAAGGCAAAAAAGTGGTTTTTGTATGCACGTTAGTTGTATAATCAAAGTAAATATATAAGCATCCCGTTAAGTTGCCCAAGAGGGAGATTAGGGAAGTATCTAGGCATCAAGAGATATATGACAAATAAATTATATTCCTGATCCTTAACTTAGAATTGATAAAATGTTTTTGCTATACATGTTAATTTTTATTGCTTTATTTTAAGAAATGGAAGGAAGTTTTTATGAATTTACTGGGTTTCTCCTAGCCCATTATTTCCTGTAAAACTGTGTGTGTTTTCTACTGTGAATTCTTTCAGAAGCATTTTTCAGCATCTTGACTTTTGAAGCTGAGTTTGAAGTGTTAGTGGAGTCCCAGAAATATTTTGAGGGCATTTGGTAATCAGACTAAATATTAGTACTTGCTCATCCAAATTCTTAGATTCTTGGTTCTCTGAATCATTCTGCTTATTTGTCTTTAGGTTCTGCTGGTCTCTGGGCCTGATTCCTACTGCAAAGGCATGGACGCTTTCAGTTACATTAATACCCTTTTTGTAACCTTACTTTATCATACTCTGAGAACTCTTTCCAAGTAGGTTTCCTTCTAAGAACATGGTTTGATTCTGATTACCAGAGGGAATTAGCAGTTCTAACTCCAGAGGGGTCTCTGTTTGGAAGTCCAAAATGTTTTGAGTTTTTATAATGATAAAATAGAAGGAAAAATAACCAGTCAAAACAATTACAATTTTGAACAGCAGTTCAAAACAATCTGTTGTTGAACAATTAATAACTGCTCACTTAAAGTGAGTGGATATGCCCATGTAGGCTAGAGTATCTGTTAGGAAATGCATGTGATGTATAAAAGGATGGGAAGAGCAATAAATAAGTTTTTTGTGGTAGCTTGGGTTAATGCTGCAGAGCTCCCTGAATATTGGAGAACTGCTGAAGTGTTCTGAGCCTGATGATCAAAGCAATGCTTCAAGAGGATTAATCTGCCCACAGATTGCAGGAATGCCTCAGTACTTGGCACCAGCTAGGGTTTCTAGTCATTTGTTGTGGGAGTGGCTGAAAGGAGCAAGGCCAGCCCAGAGGCCATTTTCATCCTCTAGGGATGAAATACGAAGCAGAGAGGGAATGGTCACTGGGAATAAAAAGAGAAGGACAGATTCTCAAGAAGTTGAGGAGAAGTAATTGCGGGGAAGAAGTAAAAGGCCATAGTGGTCATGTCCAGGGAAAGCTGAGTTTTATCCAGATGCAAATACTCGGCAGACAGTCTGCTGGAAGTGTTAGGTTGGTTTTGGGAATCATCTTTGTGTAAATAGTAGTTGAAACTGTAAGAATAAAGAGAAAGCAGAAGAGAGGAGGACTGAGTGCACAACCTGGGAGGTAAGAGGAGCCAGCAGGTAAAGAGGTGGGGATCTCTTAAATGGAAGAAGGAGAAAAATTCAAGACTGAGGGAATTGTCCTACTCTAATAAAAATCCAAGGAGGATGAATGCCAAAAAAAAGTTTTTCTGCAGGAGGATAATTCTTAGAGCTCGATGGCATTAAGTCTTTTTAATTTTACTTTTTTTATTTGTTTGTTTGAGACAGAGTTTCACTCTGTCACCCAGGCCGGAGGACAGTGGCCTTGTCGTAGCTCACTGCAACCTCAAATTCCTGGGCTCAAGGGATCCTCCTGACTTAGCCTCCTGACTAGCCATGACTACAATTGTGTACCACTGTGCTGGGCTGATTTTTGTGTTTTTAATAGAGATAGGGTCTCGCTCTTGCTCAGTCTGGTCTTCAACCCCTGCCTACGTCAGCCTCCCAAAGTGCTGCAGTTATAAACATGAGCCAATGGTGCCTGGTGAGATTAGGGAAATTTCTTAAAAAACTTAATGAATCTCCTTTGTTGCTTTTCTTAATTGGGTTAATTTCATGTAGTTTATTATGCTCTGAAAATGAATTTACATTTCTCATTTTTAAAGGGGGGAAAAAGTGGTGGTTTTAGTTGGAGAAGGCAGTGACAACTCATTTAGAGCATGTACACTTTCCATTTTCATGGTTGAAATTTTTTTTATTAATATAGCCATCATTTGTTTTAATTTGAAGCATTTTGAATAACATGAAACATGCTGTTTGTTTTTGAAAATGAATAGAATATGTCTCAGAGTTGTGTTGAAAATCTATTTGTTTACTTTATAAACGTTAATCTGATTTCTCATGGATCTTTAAGGATTGTATATATGTAATTTAGTATCTGAAAATAAAGTATATAAATAACCATAACACATGACAAACCAGTATAAGAAGAGAAGAAGGGTAAAGTGCTGTGGCAATTGAGAGGAGGGAGAAATTCTTTCTAGCTCTATTTTAGTGGGGAAGGAGATTTGGGAGAAAGATCAGAGATAAAAGGGGGGAAAGTGTCCCAGGAAAGTGTTGAGGAACCCTGAACAAAATATAGGATTGGGGTTTTAAAGGGATGTGGGCATTTTTGTTTGCCTGAAGTGTGTGTTCATGTGTGTGGTGGTAAAGAGAGGTTTCTGAAGGAAAGTAAGGGGAGATACTAATGGGAAAGGTAGTTTGGGGCTGTAACTTACATGACAGGAGTTTGAACTTTATTTGGAGGCAGCAGGGAGCCATTACACTTTTTTTTTTTTTTTGAGACAGTCTTCTTTTGTCTCCCTGGGTAGAGTGCCAGTGGTGTCATAGCTCATAGCAATCTTAAATTCCTGGGCTAAAGTGATTCTTCTCCCTCAGTTTCCTGTGGGTGCTGGCCACAACACCCAGCTAGTTTTTTCTGTTTTAGCAGAGACAGGATCTCTTTTTTTGCTCATGCTGGTCTTGAATTCCTGAGCTCAAGGGATCCTCATGCCTCGGCCTCCCAGAGTGCTAGCATTACAAGCATGGCCACCACGAATGGCCTTATTACACATTTTTTAACAGAAGAATGATGTTACCTAGCTGATGTTTTAGAAAAATGCCCCGTATTTCTGTTACTAGAAAAAAATTTTTTTTGAGACAATCTCACTCTGTCACCTTGGGTAGAGTGCCGTGTCATCATCATAGCTCACAGCAACCCCAAACTCTTGGCTCAAGTCATCCTCTTGCCTCAGTTTTTCTATTTTTTAGTAGAGACGGGATCTTCCTCTTGCTCAGGCTTATCTCAAACTCATAAACTCAAGCAGTCCACCCGCCTGGCTTCCCAGTGTGCTAGGATTACAGGTGTGAGCTGCTGCGCCCAGCTGTTATTTGAAGTTTTATTTATTTATTTATTTATTAGTTTTTTGAGACAGAGTCTCACTTTGTTGCCCCTGGTAGAGTGCTAGAGTGCTGTGGTATCATACCTCAGAGCAACCTCAAACTTTCCTGGGCTCAAGCAATTCTCTTGTCTCAGCCTCCAGAGTAGTTGGTACTACAGGTGCCTGCCACAATGCCTGGCTATTTTTAGAGACAAGGTCTTGGTCTGTCTAGCTCAGGCTGGTCTTGAACTTGTGAGCTTAGGCGATCTACCCGCCGTGGCCTCCCAGAGTGTGGGGATTACAGGCGTGAGCCACTGCTCCCGTTCTTGTTATTTGAAATTTTAGTAAGAGGCACGTCATAATTGTATAATCAGCAAACAAACTAACAAAAAGATATAAAATTCTTGGTTAAGATTCTTTTTAATGTAAGTTTTTGGCTTAAGTAGAAAAGAGAAAGTTAAGGTTATTGGAATGTAGCTGGACCTTAGGCCTAGAACCAGGAGCTAAAAAACCGTTGATAAGCCTCCCCTCCCTGCTTCCTGTACTGTTTCTCAAGGCACTCACTGGATTCTTTTTAGTTTTTTATGGTACGTTTTATCTAACTAGTTTAAGCTGAAGTTAGAAAATGACCTTTCTAATCTCCTGTGTTGCAACCACCAGGAGAGAGATAGAGTGTAAGGGAGGGCTGGGGACAGGGAGAAGAGAAAGAGATATTTTCTTGTTCATGGTTTCAGATTCTCAGGGATCGGACTTTGATTTTATTTTGCTCAAAGATGAATTTATTTTTGCCATTTTATAGCTGGTGCCAATCAACTACGGCCAGGAGAGTATAAATACACTATGGGAATTTACTTCTGTAGATGAGAGGATTAGGTAAGAGGTTAGGCAGAAATCCCAAAGGGAGTCCATTATTTAATTTATTGGTTGAAAGATAACAGATTACATTAAATTTAGAGAAGTAACATAAAAATTATGCAGAAATTTCCCCCAGTAAACTACAAAATATGTTTAAGTTGAACATTAACTGGTTACTCTTACAGGAGCATAGAATGTTATAGACTAAGACTGGAGTGCTGGGGTCCTGATAATGTTCTCTGTCTTGATCTGGATAGTGATTACAAATGCTTATGTATGTGTCAAAATTCATCAAGATATGTGCTCTTGATGTGTGTAAGCAATACGTTTGTTGCTTTAATTTAAGAGGAAATCTAGGCAACATTGACTTGATTTGCCAGGTATCTGCCTTGCCTTGTCGTATAGATCACCATATATCATTGTAAGTTAATTATGTTCCTGTTTATTTTAGGTAGGTAAGTTTTTGATAGACATTCATCTTTGAGTATCTGAGAAATGAAAATAGGATGTTTTAAATATATGATATAAAAAAGATAATGACCTGGTTAACTTTTTCCCCTGATTTAGGAGCTGTGACTGATGAGAATTAAAGGCCATGGATGAAGATGGACTTGGATTACAGTCACAACAGCCAAACTCATTTTTTGATGCAACAGGTAAAACTACTTGGATTGTTCCATTTCCCATCTACCACATTTGGTGTTGGTTATCACATGGATGAATTACTAGACTCACATTGATATTCACACTTAGATTATCTTGTTATCCTGTCAAAATCTACAGATGTTAAAGTGAGCACATTATTATTCCCTTCCTCAAAAATTTGGCTTCCTCACAACCAACTCTCATATTCTTATCAGTAACAGCAGCAATAGCAAAACCTTAGTGTTATTAGTTATTCCCATCTTGTCCAGTTATCCCACTAAAAATATTCTCCCTTTGAAAATATTCCTTGTTTACATTTGCTTTTCCTCCTCCTACCTCTTACCATGTAGATAGGCTCTCATTTCATTCTCGGTTTGCAATAACTTTTATGCTATTTTCTTTACCTTCTGTCTCTTTAATCTAGCCCACCAATCAGAGTACACGTTGCAAAATAACATGTGGATCTTGTCACTTTTCTGTTTCCATTACTCAACAGATAAAGAAAGCTCTTGACGTTCTAGTCTTATCCTACTTTTATAACCCCTTCTCCCTCCTAGTCAAAAGGGGCTTTCTGCTTTAGGAAGATCGAGTCTTTCCTTACTCCCTAGAGTATACAAGGAAAATTGTATTCATGAAGTCCTAAAAATAGGAGGGAAAGGTATTCACAATTTTCGATTACCCATGGTTCTCATTATTGTATATAACATTGTAAAGTGATTACACTTGGTTTAATATCATGCTAGCTAGTAACTTTTTTTGGGGGGCTGCAGAGTCTCAAGCTATTGCCCTGGGTAGAGTGCTGTGGTATCACAGCTCACAGTAACCTCCAACTCTTGGGCTTCAGCAGTTCTCTTGCCTCAGCCTCCCATGTAGCTGGGACTACAGGCGCTCACCACAATGCCTGGTTATTTTTTGTTGTTGTTGTTGTAGTTGTTGTCATTGTTGTTTGGTGTGCCGGGCTGGATTCAAACCTGCCAGCTCTGGTGTATGTGGCTGGTGCCCTAACTACTTGAGCTATAGGTGCCGAGCCAAGCTAATAACCTTTATAAATAAAATGCTAACAAGTTTTCCATTGGACTATGAATGGTCAGATTGCAGTATATTAAGGAAATAGCAATTCATTTTTATCAAGAAATTCAGTATTAGTGATTTTAAATTTTTTAATTTTCTTTAATCTCTAAATCAGTGGGGAGTATATGTGTGCTTTTCTTTTTTTTTTTTTGGCGGGGGCTGGGTTTGAACCTGACACCTCCGGCATATGGGGCCGGCACCCTACCCTTTGGAGCCACAGGCGCCGCCCTACGTGTGCTTTTCTTAACAACTTGGAATAGTCTTTTAACTCAAGTTTGGTAATTTCATTTGGATAGTGATAATTGCAAAGTTTATAATTCTTCATTGAAACATGAAATTTAATTTCATGTGCATGAAAGAGAGACTATGCTCTTTGGAGAAAAAAGGATAGTATTTGTTCACTTAGTCTTGCCACAAACAAGCCTAGGTCATGGGCTAAATGGTTGCATTTTAGTCCTGATAACACTTATGGTATTTGTTTATCTTTGAGCAAGTCACTTAATCTGCCAGGGCCTCCATTTTCATATGTTATAATAATAATGAAACCTCTCATTGCAGTTTTTCAGAACACTTCTCATACATTCCCATTTGATCATCACCACAGTCCTATGAAGTATGCATGGCAGATGCTACTGTCCTGATTTTACTGGTGAGGAAACCGAAACTCAGAGGTTAAATGACTTGCCCAAGGTCACAAAACTAATAAGTGTCCAACCCTGTTCTCTGATTTAGATTTTGTAACTGGTGCTCATATCTCCACAATGGCGATTACAGTAATCTGTTACTTGATAATATTGAGAATATTGAAAACAAATAAGTACAAAGCATTCTGTAGAAATTTTATAGAGTTAAATATAATTATAAGAAATTACAGATTTTTTATTATTTTATAGATGTAAATAAAATGAATATGAATTGACTTTAAATTAGACTTTCTACAATTTTGATATTCCTTAGTCCCGTATCATTTTTGTTTGTAGACAAAGCCATGTATTTCTCTGAGGGTCTGGTCAGTGACACACAGTTATTGAGTTAGGCATCTGCTTGGATTCAGCCTGGTCTGAGTCACAACCAGAAGTACTAATATACTGAAATAGCTTTTTAGGTAAGCCTTTTTAAAACTTTGTTTGTAGGAGCCAAGATCCTGGATTTGTTTTATTTTATGTTGTTTTTGATAAGGATATATGATCTCTATTGCCATTTGTGGCATTCATTCAGAATAATATTTACTGAGCATCATACACTGTACAAACTATGTGGTCTTGGTGAAGTCATTTAATTTCACTGGGCTTCAGTTGATTCAGTCCTCTACCTTCATTCCTCAACTGCAAAATGGACTAGAGTAGGGTTTCCTATATTCTGAGAAACAGTCTTGGGGAAGGTGGGATCTTCGGGGATAAGAGGAGGCTAGAGAGAGAGTACCCTGGTGAAGTTAGGGCAGTTATTCTCTGTCACCCCAGCACAGCTGGGCTTTTATTCATCATATCTATCCCCAGAGCCTCCTCAACCAATTGTCTTTTCTCCTTAACTGTGGCCTTCTTTCTTTTCATTTATGAACTGATGCTTTTATATCCTAGATTCAAAGGATGATTTCTAAATTTTCATAGTCATAGATGGAGGGTATTGGTATTGCACAAGAGCTAAGTGAGAAGAATGTGAAGGGAGAAGTGAAAAAAAAGGAAAGGAAGTAAAAGAAATACATGAGAGAGATGAGTTGAGCAGAAGGAGATAGAGCAAGAAGGAAAAGCAATAAGAAAAAACATTTGAAGAAGGAAAATCGTGTATTTGCTGTCTCAAGATGCATTACTCACTTAATTTTTACACTCCTCTCTTTAAGTCTATATGAATTTAATTGTACGTTCTTAGAATTTTCCTTTCATGAATATTTTTCTTCTGTGATTGCCTGAATTGGTTTGTTCTAGTATTTTTAAAAATCTATTAATTGATTTGGGATGAATACAAAAGGGCTTATGTTAAAAATGACTTTCAAATACTCAAAAACAGGTCCCCTCTTTATTTAATCTATGTTAATGTTTGAGAAAACTGAGGAGCTATTTTCCTGGTAAAAATTAAATAATGTTTACATTAATGAGATAGTCATGCATGCCTCTCTAAAATTTGTCATTTTAATTTTTTTTAAAGGAGCTGATGCTGCACACATGGATGGTGATCAGATTGTTGTGGAAGTGCAAGAAACTGTTTTTGTTTCAGATGTTGTGGATTCAGACATAACTGTGCATAATTTTGTTCCTGATGACCCAGACTCAGTTGTAATCCAAGATGTTATTGAGGACGTTGTTATAGAAGATGTTCAGTGCCCAGATATCATGGAAGAAGCAGATGTAACTGAAACAGTCATCATTCCTGAGCAAGTGCTGGACTCAGATGTAACTGAAGAAGTTTCATTAGCTCATTGCACGGTCCCAGATGATGTTTTAGCTTCTGACATCACTTCAGCCTCAATATCCATGCCAGAACACGTCTTGACAAGTGAATCTATACACGTGTCTGATGTTGGGCATGTTGAACATGTGGTTCATGATAGTGTAGTAGAAGCAGAAATTGTCACTGATCCTCTGAGCACTGATGTAGTTTCAGAAGAAGTATTGGTAGCAGACTGTGCCTCTGAAGCTGTCATAGATGCCAACGGGATCCCTGTGGACCAGCAAGATGATGACAAAAGCAACTGTGAGGACTACCTTATGATTTCCTGTAAGTCTTTGGGGTACAGTGATTGTCAAAGCTGTTTTTGAAGGCTGCCTTTGCTAACTTACATCAGGGGTGAAATTTTCTTAAATGTTTATAAAATGAAAGTAAATTGGCTTGGCACCTGTAGCTTAGTGGTTAGGGTGCCGGCCACATACACCGAGGCAGGCGGGTTCAAACCCAACCCGGGCCTGCTAAACAATAATGACAACTGCAGCAAAAAATAGCTAGCACTGTGGTCAGCTCCTGTAGTCCCAGCTACTTGGGAGGCTGAGGCAAGAGAATTTCTTAAGCCCGAGAGTTGTGTATCAGATGTTGTAGGTAGTACAGATATGAATATGAGCTAAACACATGTATCAAACTATTGTCCCTGGAGAGTTTACAGTCTCTTGTGGGAGAGAAAGGTTGCAGTGTGATGCAGAGGTGTAACTAATTTGCTGTGGAGACAGGATGGAGTGACTGACCTTTGAACTCAAGGATGAGTCCTAGTTTTATAAGCTGAAGAAAGACATAGGTGGCAGGAAGACATTCCAGGCAAGTGGTATAGTATGAAAAAAGGAATGATGTGAACTTCAGGATGCACTTATATATCTTTGTGTACTTTCTGTTTTATTTCTTAGAATAAATTTTTAGAAATGGAATTAATTTTTGGATTAAAGAGTGTACACATTTTGGGCGATGCCTGTGGCTCAAAGGAGTAGGGCGCCGGCCCCATATGCTGGAGGTGACGGGTTCAAAGCCAGCCTTGGCCAAAAACTGCAAAAAGAAAAAAAAAAAAGCGTACACATTTATAAGTTTGGTTATATTGCCTTGGTGTTTTGCTTAATACAATTCCCCTCACCACATTTTTTAGATTGTCCATGTCCCTACATGCTAATGAACACAGAGTATTATTTTCCTTTTTAGTTTTTGCCCATCTGGACAGGAAAAAAATGATATCCTGTTTTAATTTTGAATTTATTTTAGGAAGCTAATCCTGATAGCAGTGTGGAATAAGAATTAGCGAGGGAGAGATTAGTGGTAGAGAGTAGTTGAAATGATTTGTGTATGAGATAAAGACAATCCTAAGTACCTCAGTGACGGTAAAGGGGATGGGTGGGAGTGTGTGTTTTAAGTGAGATTAGGAACTAAAATGGATAAGGTTTGATGACAGATAAAACATGGCTGAGGAAGGATTTGAGGGAGAAAGATAATTCAAGGATGACTCTAAGGTTTCTACCTTGGGAGATTAAGTCCCTGGTCATGCCTGAGAGGTAGATTTGGTGGGGGAAAAAAGGATTTAGGACCTGTTAAAAGTTTTGAGTTTTTTGCTGGGAACAGTCTGGTGGTAGTTTTTTCTAGGCCTTTGAAAATAAGAATTTTGAGAGTTTGTGGCTAGAGGAAGAAATTTGGGAGAACAGAATTTAGGAAATGCGTCCTATATTGGAAATGGATGGTGGTACTAGAGAGTGCGTGTAGACTAAGAGTGTCTAGTATGGCTCCTTTGGGTATTTAAGAAGTAGGCAGAGGAAAAGAGCCCATGCAAGAAAGGAGGTTTTGGGAAAAGGAAGAGAAGCAAGTATTTTTATTTATTTATTTATTTATTTATTTTGAGAGAGTCTACTTATGTCGCCGTTGGTAGAGTGCCATGGTTTTAGAGCTCACAACAACCTCAAACTCTTGGCTTAAGAGATTCTCTTGCGGCTCGGCGCCTATAGCTCAACCGGCTAAGGCGCCAGCCACGTACACCTAAGGTGGCGGGTTCGAATCCCCAGCCCGGACCCGCCAAACAACAATGACGGCTGCAAACAAAAAATAGCCGGGCGTTGTGGCGGGCGCCTGTGGTCCCAGCTACTTGGGAGGCGGAGGCAGGAGACTCGCTTGAGTTCAGGAGTTGGAGGTTGCTGTGAGCTGGAATGCCATGGCACTCTACCCAGGGGCACAGCTTGAGGCTCTGTCTCAAAAAAAAAAAGGAGATTCTCTCTGCTCAGCGCCTGTAGCTCAAAAGACTATAAAGGCTAAGGTGCCACATAGACCAGAGCTGGCAGGTTTGAATCCAGCCTGGGCCTGCCAAACAACAATGACAACTACAACCAAAAAATAGCCAGGTGTTGTGGCGGGCGCCTGTAGTCCCAGTTACTTGGGAGGCTGAGGCAAGAGAATCGCTTAAGCCCAAGAGTTGGAGGCTATTGTGAGCTGTGATGCCATGGCACTTTACCCAGGCCTCTTGCCTGAAATTCCAGAGAAGGGAGAGGGACTGGAGTCCAGGACCATCTTGGATGGCTATTAATTCGGTCAGTCCTAGAGAGAAAGAGTGGGTCGTCTTTGCTGAGACAGGAAGGCAGTTAAGGATAAGGCCCCTATCCAAGGACAGAAGGTAAAAGGAGTGTTTAAATGATGGTTGTTTTCCCTGTGAAGCAGGTTTATTGCTTATATAGAAGGACTACCGAGGTTGAGTGAAAAGCTGAAGGATAGCAGCAAAGGGTTGAAAAGGTTTTAGTCTTTTGGAATGAGCCAGTGTTGGAAGCTAACAATTTATGAGTTAGATTGCTGAATTGCATTCAGGGGCCAGTTAAGGTTGGGAGTTTTTTAAGTTTGTAAAGTAAGATGCTCTAGTTAGTATGAAAATGCTGTTTTTGAATTTAGGTTGAACATTCCTAATCCAAAATCCTCCAAACAAAACTTTTTGAGTGGCAATAGGACACTATAAGTGGAAAATTCCATACTTGACACCTTTGTTTTTTGACAGCTCAGTATATATGACCTTTGGTTCATATATAAAATAATAATAATCACAATTATTATTATTATTTTGAGACAGAGTTTCACTTTGTTGCCCTTGGTAGAGTGCTGTGGTGTCATAGCTCACAGAAACCTCAAACTCTTGGGCTCAAGTGATCCTCTTGCCTCAGCTTCCCAAGTAGCTGGGACTATAGCCTTGCTCAAGCTGGTCTCAAACTCCCAAGCTCAGGAGATCCACCTGCCTCGGCCTCTCAGAGTGCTAGGATTATAGGTTAGAGCCACTGTGCCTGGCCAGGAAAGCAAAATTTTATCTAGTCTTTGTGTTCTAGATGTTAATGATTGTTTTTAAATTGATCATAATGTTTCTTGAGGACAGGAACTATCCACTTTGTCTTAGCTACTTATGTATTTTCCTGTCAAACCAATGCAGTATTAAGTACAAAATAAATATTTGTTCAATAAATGAATATATTGGGGTGGCGCCTGTGGCTCAAGGAGTAGGGCGCCAGCCCCATATACCAGAGATGGTGGGTTCAAACCTGGCCCTAGCCAAAAACTTAAAAAAAAAAAAAAATGAATGAATATATGAATGTTACAGCTAAAAGGTCGTGAACATCATGCCTCATCGAAGATATTAGCTATACCTGTCTTCTCTGCCAGTAGCTTTTTCCTCTGGTCAGACTAGATATGGTGGTACTGCTTCATGACCCTCAGGAATTTTCTGGATGTCTGAGAAGTGGAGGGTTTGAGTTATTTCCTTATTACTCAGGTTGCTTCTTAGTTCTCCTGTAATCTGAAGCAGCTGACAGACTGCCCCTAATTTCTTTGCAAGTAGTCTTCAGCTTGCTGGAGTTATGCTTTGCAGCTAGAATAGTCAAGATGCCATTTTGTGTAACAGCAGTTTGTGCAATAGGAAAAGTTGGAGAACATCTGGTGGTGATGAGTCAGACACTGCCTTACAAAAACTGCAGTTAACAAAATATTCTTTGAGTGCCTCTGATGTTAATATGATCAATATCAAATCATGAGAGGTATCACTTCTTAGATCTTGTTGACCTCTCCCATGCCTTATAATTAGTACAGTTAGGTAGAAAATGGACAGGACTTAGGTGTTCCTTCCTAATCCTAGATTCAACTTAAGTGTTGAAATAAATTTCAGGGGTAACATTTTTATCAAGATATTATTTACATACCATACAGTTACCCATTTAAAATGTATAGTTCAGTGGTTTACAGTATATTTACAATTTTTTTTATTAAATCATAGCTGTGTACCTTAATGCAATCATGGAGTATATTTACAAATTTATGTGACTCATCACAATCAACTTTAGAAATTTTTCATTACTTAAAGGGGACATTGCCATACCCTTTAGTTGTCGTTCCCACCAACCCTCTCCCTCCCCTCCAAACCTAAGCAACCACTAATCTACTTTCTGTCTTGATAGGTTTGCCTGGAAGTTTTGTATAAATGGAATCCTGTAATATGTGATCTTTTGTAGTTGGCTCCTTTAAGTCATGTTTTCAGGGTTCATCCATACTGTAGCATATATGAGTTCTTCATTCTTTTTATTATTAGATAATATTCCATTGTATGAATATTTTTCAGTTTGATGGACATTTGGGTTGTTTTTATTTTTTGGGTGTTATGAACACAAAATGAACATTTATGTATAGCAGGGGTCCTCAAACTTTTTAAACAGGGGGCCAGTTCACTGTCCCTCAGACCGTTGGAGGGCCAGACTGCGGGCCCTGGGACGAGTTGGCTGCTAAGCAGGACAGGCAGCTGTGGCAAAAACACCCGGTGGGCCAGATAAATGTCCTAGGCGGGCTGCATGTGGCCTGCAGGCCATAGTTTGAGGACGCCTGATGTATAGGCTTTTGTGTTTTCATTTCTCTCAGGTATACAGGTATGGAATTGTTGAGTCATACAGTAACTGTGTTTAGTCTTTTGAAAAATTACTAGACTGTTTTCCAAAGCAGTACCAGTTATATTCCCACCAGCAGTGTATGAGGGTTCCAGTTACTCTGCATCCCCTCTATAACACTTATTATCTGTCTTTTGATCGTAGTCATCCTAATGGATATAAAATATTTCATTATGATTTTAATTTGCATTTCCCTGATGTATAATGTCATCAGGTGTCTTTGCATATGCTTATTGGCCATTTGTATTTCTTTGGAGAAAAATCTATTCAGATCCTTTGCCCATTTTTTATTTTATTTATTTTATTTTTTTGACTGGGGCCGGGTTTGAACCCGCCACCTCTGGTATATGGGGCCGG